CTCAAAACCTGTAATCGCAATACGGGTCGTAATTTGGATACCCGTAGCCATAATTTCCATAACCAATTCCGTACGGACTTCCGTACCCATAGGGGTCTCCATAGCCACCTCCGTATCCATAGCCACCGCCGTAACCATACCCTCCATAGCCGTAACCGAATCGATTCTGGCCTCCTTTCACACCCAATCCAGGCCTCAAACCGAGAGACCTCTTCTTGCGTTGACTTTCCAATAGGTTTAGGTCGGAAGGAATGGGTGTCTTCTGGACGCTGGCGATCACAGGTGGCAACAAATACTTGTATATAACGGGCGCCGCTCTTTCATTGACACTTGTTTTCCTATATATCGGATAAAACAGTGCCTCAAATGAGTCCAGTTTTTGCGGACCAGAGTTTGATATTTTTGTCGACTCTTTACTATCGATTTCTATCGACCGAATGTCCACTAAATGCCGAAAACAATAATTTTATTGCAAACTTTTAATATAAAATGGTTTTTATTATACATACCTATAAGTAAAAGTTGAAATATAAATATAGCGTACATTATAATAGACATTATTTACAGAATATTATGTGAAATAAATATAAAACATAAAGCTTTAAATATAAATTTTTAAAACCTAAAAATCTAAATATATTTTTTATTTGCTGATGAATCTGACAATAGAAAGAGTTTTATTTCAAAAGTTTTATTTATTAAATATTGATTTATATGTGTTAATGTGTTTCCATTGATATTATTTGTTTATTTTATTAATAATCGGAGAAATGCTATTCAATTGTAACACATTTTGTGACAAAAATAACATTATTTTAGAGAACTTGAAAGAATAGTATTGTCACAATTAATGTGTTTCCATTGATATTATTTGTTTATTTTATTAATAATCGGAGAAATGCTATTCAATTGTAACACATTTTGTGACAAAAATAACATTATTTTAGAGAACTTGAAAGAATAGTATTGTCACATATGTTGGACATGGATTCACATAATATTTAGTGATTATCCTTGACATTAATATTGGACACCAAATACTTTTACTGATAGAGTATTACAACTTTTTATTGTAAATTTATATTGATTTTTAAATATAATTTCCATTATTTATGCACTAATTTTAAAACCAAATGTTTACTGTTTAATGATTCATTGTAAAATACAGCATAAATAAATTGTTTCAATATTAAAATAATAGGACATTATTAAGTATTTTTACAATTTAAATAAATATTATTAAAAATACAATTCGTGTCACATTTAGAACATGTATTAAATGGTTTCTACAGAAGTACTTACTAACATCTTGTTAGACATTATTAAAATTGTTCATAACCTGATCATACAATTAACGATAGGAACATTCTTATCAGTAGTAATCAATTGTTTCGACCACATAATCGTCGGGAGGATAGAAGGGGTGGAAAGGCATGTGATAATCAATAACCATGTAATCCATTGGTGGGCCGAATAGAAATCGCTTTTGTCGATCGTTTGTCGGATCTACTTCTTCAACATCTGACTTCTCAGCCTTTAAACTTAAATACCTTTTCAATAACTCTGCCATATGTTTGGATCCACTCTTATCGTCATTGTCTGTTGTCTTAATGGTTTCCGCTTTGTTTGTATCATTTTTGGCATTCAATTTGTGAAATAAAACTATAAAACATTATAATTTATAAATTATATCAATTCAATTAATACTGTATTAGACTTACGACTACTGATTATTAAAGTTATTGCTAATAATCTAGAGATAGTCATGCTTTTAGGAGTGATTCGACAATTAATAAATTAAAACAATAATATATTTTGCTTTATATAAACTCTTTTGAGTAAAAATCTGTATTTGTTTTCTGTATTATAAATAGTATTATTATTTTTATAAATACCATTTGTTGTCCAATAAATTAATTTTCAATGACAAGTCTGTTAACAATAGTATAACTTTAGATTTAAGAGTAAACTAAAAGTTAGCTTTAAAAACATAAATCAGAAGTAAAGGATAGTTTACTGGACTATAGATACAACTCGTATCAAACAAGGCATTTAAAAAGCTGGTATCATTAAAAGCACAGTCTTGTCGACCAACACTTAATATTTTAATTTCGAAATTACTTAATTTTATAATAATTAAATTGTTATCTAATGTTATATTCTATTCAATACCTATACTAATTAAAACCTTGATTTTGTCATTTGAATCGCTGATGATACAATTCAATGAGTAAAAGTAAGCTATTGTAATTTTAGTTAAACAATAAGTAAACATATCTTTTGTAAAAAAGTTTATTATTTAATATTTTGCTATTAAATAGTTTTCAAAATATTATTAAAGTAATAATATTTGAATTTAATCTATTTTTTAATTAATAATAATTAATAACAAAAATTGGAAATGCAATTTTTACAATACAATTTTTATAAGTTTACATTTAAAATTCAAAACATAATTTTTAATAATTTTAAATTGGAGAACATGATAGTTTTGTCTAAAAAACTAGTAGCAATAATAATCAGGTTGATAACAATAGTCATCATATCCACCACAATAAGATCGTGTCTCTGGCTTTACGGCTTCAATATCTGTATTGACTTTAATGTGTGGTTCAGTTGCGTTCACTTTAACCAAACCGATCCTCTTCTTCAATAAGTCACTCAATATTTTCAAACCATTTCTTCGGCCCTCAGTGTTGGCGTTGAATGTAAGTCGATGTCCAACAAAAGCTGGGTTTGAGACCTTATTGTCTACTTTTATATCGGTTCCATCGGTTCCGACAGTCAATTCTTCCGCAGAGACTATAAATTCATTCATATTTTATTTATAAATTATTCAACATTTAAAACATACCGCAGATTATTGCCAACAGAAGCGCAGCCAAAGTTGAATACAAATACATTTTTGTCAAATAAGTTTAAGAAAAAATGTGTTGCTCTCAACGATTTTCATCATTACTTTTATACTTTAAATTTGTTTCAATTTTAATAACAATTTACTTAAAATAGATTCTTTGCTCTTTAAAACATTTGTTTCTTACAATTAATCTAAAATACAATTTAATTTACTAAAAAAAATAAGGTAATTATTCATTAAATCTTGCTTTTATGAATACAGATAATATGTCTCTTTATAAACTTAACAATATTTTGAAATTACATAATAAACTTATAGTTAAAATTTAAAACTAATAAATAGAGGGGGAATTTATTTAACAATTTAAAAATTTGTTTTCTTAAATAATAATCCTTTTGTCACAAAAAACCGTCTGTTTTTAAATTTCTAATCCAATTAAATGTTTTCATTGATGTCATCCATATTAATCTAGTATGAAATGTTGATTAATCACAAAGTACTATTAAATGTGTATTAAATGTTCTTAACCACGGCATTATTATTTAGCACTAAAATGTGTATTTTGACATATATTGCGTACCTTACTTTCAAACTTATCAATGAAAATTTGACATAAATTATAACAAATTAATGGAAAAAATATTATGTCACATTTGTAAGGTAATAAGTACGTAGACAGCAATATCGCCAAGGTATACTTAATGGATCGGTAAAAATATATTTTGGTACCAATTTGTAATTTCTAGCAAATAGTGCAAAAGAGAATGGCCAATTAAAAATTGTGTATCAGGTTTAACTAAATATAAATATACCAATCAATAAGTTTTGACATTAGTTTTAAATTTAAATTTGTATTAAACCAAATTATCTGTGATAATGCTATTTTATCTACAATAATTATTATCATACACAAACTATTATGTTGTTGGTAAATGCGGTAATTGATTGTAATATTATACATGCTGTATAAAGTCTTGGACTAAACTCCTTATATATTTTTTGAAACGATCAGCATTTATGGTTAATATTATAGCATAGGTTTTTAGGGTGACCATACGACTTTCTTTTGGAGGTTCGCTCATTTAATATACATTTAACATGACACAGTATTAATGTAACTAATTCTGTCATATGACGTCATATAACACGTTACATTACAGTTATATGACATGTAAAGTGTAATATAAAATTTTTATATATATTGTAATATAGATCTAGCACAATTAGATTATTGATTAGGCAATTATGATATTGTAATTAAGGCTATTTTTAAAAAAATAATTGAAACACAATTAAAAGTGTGTTTCGATAATTTATTAGTAAAACAAGTGGTTGATTTTATTGTAAATTTAGCTATGATTTCTAAATCAACATTATTTTAAATAATTTATTTAAGCAAAATGTTTATTTTCTATATTACACTATGTGGCTTTATATGAAGTTATATGACTGTAATATATAATATAAAAATCTATATTACATGTATTATACATGCGATAGCTTTCCTATCTAATAGAAATATGCATTGCATAACATAAAATGAATTAAAAGTAAAATAATTTTATATGTTGTGAATCATCTGAAAGACTTTAAGATTTAAATTTCAACAGTTTAGAAATTCTATTACTAAAAACATTTTAATTGTTATCTATATTTTCAATGTATGCTTTCTGGTCACCCTAAGTGTCTGCTAAGTTGGTACTCGCCATAAATGACGGTCGCCTAAAAAAATATATAAGGAGTTTAGTCCAGGACTTTATAGCAATGCCCAAATTAACATGTTCTAGGTGCATGTTAAAACATTGCTGTCAAATTTATTTATAAATAAATTGTGATTAAAATTGAAATTAATCAAAATTTTATGCAATGTTTTAAATGTAAAATTAAAAGGGGTCTTAACTAAATTTTACAATATTTTATGTCCTAAGAATTTACTATTGTAAACTTTATTATATACACTTTATTACAATAAATATACAGTAATTTAAACAATTACTGATAATTTGGTGGTAGACTTGCATTATCTATATTATTTTATATACAATTAATTAAATAAGTTATGATTTAAATAATTAATTAAATTTATAATTGAGGAACTAATCTACAACATTAAATAAATAATTGAATAGAGATGTCCGGACACAACAATTCTATCATTTATATGTCTAAATTGAAAACACGTAAAAATTCATATTCATGTCAAGAATTTGAAAGCAAACAATAAAATTAAACATTAAATTCATTACAATAACAAAGGAATTGACATTTCATTTCAATATATATTTTTATATAATTCATAGGAAAATCATTAAATTAAAGTCAATGCATAGCAACCATTAAAATGAAAATAAAATAATGCATTAAATAATAAGTTGCCTGTATTTGCAAACTAAAGCCTATTCCTCAATACAGTGCAGATATAAATACATTTAAATGCAAATCATATAAAAGCCTAACTTATACTTCGCGTGTAAGCAATCAATCAATTCCTATGAAAAACTTTAAACCAAGGATTGCCACAGAAATACAATGACAATTGTTTGTCGTTTAATACCTGTATTTTAAAAATCTCTTCATTACTTTTTATTATAAAATTCAACCAAAAATATACGAATATTTCACAAATATTTAGTAATATTTCACAAATATTTACCAGATTTTAATTTCTGGATGAATACATGCATTTCCTCTCACTCTTTGGTCCTCTATATGTACTCTAAATGCTATTAAAATTAATTTTTATGATTATGTCATAAGTTTTTGACAAACTTTTACTTTCATTG